TCTCTCTCTCTCTCTCTCTCTCTGTCTCTCTCTCTCTCACACACACACACACACATACACACACACACACACGGTTGACATTATAATTTTATGTAGACAATCATTACTAAAACTTATAAAATTTTGGTTCTTTTCTTTGTATTTATATTTTATTTTTACTTTTTATTTTTCTGTATTTCATTTTGACATCTTAGGGCTCCCTTGTGTTTGGACAAATTGCACTCTCCTAGGAATAGCCTATTTCTAGAGGTAGTAAAGGACTTACCTACAGCCGTACCTTAGTATGCAGACCAATCTATCCAAAGCTCATGCTCCAACCACTTTTATCATCCTTACCATCTCTGACACTCTGGGCCACTATTCCCCTCTCCTACTAATTGCAGGGAAAGGTACTACGTAACTAAAGACCACTACTACAGTTTAGAGCTCACTGAAATTATTCAGACTCACCAGTACTAACTCTCTTTACCTGTTTTACTCATTCAAGCTTAGAAGAGTGTTAGGAGAATGTTCATGGCAATTAGTGAAAAAAATGTAAGAAGAAAAGCAGTTTCATGAAAGAAAATATGATATTCTGTACTTGATCTCATTTTCGGTATATTGCATGATAAATTTTTTAAAATTGTAAGGTGTATATAGCATAAAGTTGCCATTTTAACTATTTTAAGTGTGCAATTAGGTGTTATTAGTCACGTTCACTGCATTACACACTATCACCACTGTTTTCTTTATCATCACTCCAAACAGAAACTTTGTAATCATTAAGCTTAAGTAAGCATTCCTAATTCCCTCCTGCCCCTGGTAACTTCTAATCAACTTTCTGTATCTATGAATTTCTCATACCAGATACATCTTGTAAGTGGAATCATAATATATTTGTCCTCTTGTGCCTAACTTATTTCACTTAGGGAAATGTTTTCAAGGCTCCTCCACATTATGGTATGTGTCAAAATTTCATTTTTTTATGTCAGAGTTATATTTCATAATATGTATGTAGCATATTTGTTTATCCATTGATCTATTGATGGGCATTTGTATTGTTTCCAACTTATGACTATTGTGAATAATACTCAATTGAACATTATCATAGAAGTATTTGTTGGAATCCTTATTTCCAGTTCTTTTGGTTGCACACTCAAATGCAGAATTGCTGGATCAATTTCACAGGGGTTGCACTGTCCATTCCCTTTGGCAGTATAAAAGTTCTGATTTCTTCTTTTCATCCTTAGCATTTATTTCCATTGTTTGTTCTTTTGAGTTTTGAAGAGTTTGAAGGTGTATCTCATTATAGTTTTGATTTGTATTTCTCTAATGACTGATGATGTTGACTATTTTTCATCTATTCTTACATATTTAGAGAAATTTCTATTCATTTTTTTACCACTTTTTAAATTGGATTGTTTTTGCATAGTTCTTATCTATAGTCACCCTATTGGGCTGTAGTATAACAGAACTACTTACTCCTGTCTAACTGTAATTTAGTACTCTTTCATCAACCTTTCTGTATTCTTCCCTGACTTCCTTATTATTTTAGTGTCTCTAGAATCTATAATCCTGTTACCATTCTCTCTTTTGTATTTAATTTTTTTTTTGCCTGATCAGTTTGAGTAGAGGCATGTCAATTTTAGTGATTTTTTTTCTTTTTTTCTTGTGATTTTCTTTAAAAACTCATAATTTTTTTCATTGATTTTACTTTTCTCTTTTCTTTTCCATTTCCACTCTGATCTCATTATTTTTTTCCCTCCTGCTTAGTTGAGATTTCATTTGGTATTTTGTTACTAGTGTAAAATAGAAACTGAGATCATTGGTTTGAGATTTTTCTTTCTTTTTATTTAGATATGACAGTGGAATGCATTACAATTCTTATTACACATGTAGAGCACAATTTTTCATATCTCTGGTTTTATACATAGTATATTCACAACAATTCATGTCTTCATACATGTACTTTGGATAATAATGATCTTCACATTCCACCATCATTAATAACCTCATGCACCCTCTCTTCCCCTCTAACCCCTCTGCCCTATCTAGAGTTTGTCTATTTCTCCCATGCTCTTGCTCTCTATTCCACTATTAATTAGCCTCCTTATATCAAAGAAGATATTTGGCATTAACTTCTCTAACTCCATCCATTTACCTTCAAATGTCATGATTTTATTCTCTTTTATTGCTGAGTAATATTCCATTGTGCATATATGACACATTTTTTAATCCATTCATCTATTGAAGGACATCTAGGTTGGTTCCACAGTTTAGCTGTTGTGAATTGGGCTACAATAAACATTGATGTGGCTATGTCCCTGTAGTATGCGGGTTTTTAAGTCCTTTGGGTATAGTCTGATGAGAGGGATAGCTGGGTCAAATGGTGGTTCCATTCCCAATTTTCTGAAACATTTCCATACTGCTTTCCATATTGGCTTCACCAATTTGCAGTCCCACCAGCAGTGTATGAGTGTGTTTTTCCCCCACATCCTTGCCAACACTTATTGTTGTTTGTATGCATTCTTTTTTTCTAAACAGGTATTTAAAACTATAAATTTCCTCCTAAGTACTGCTTTAGCAGAATCCCACAAATTTTGGTACAATTTATATATTTTTTAATTTCCCTTTTGATTCCGTCTTTGATCCATGAGTTAGTTAGAACTATGTATTTTAGTTTCAAAACACTGAAGGTTTTCCACAATCTTATTTTATTGGTCTCTAGTTTAATTCTGTTGGGATTAGGGAACATACACATTTTATTTTACCTATGGTATAAGCTCCAGTATACATTTCTGTTATTATTTAAAAGAAAATTGACATTTTAATGAAATTTAAGTGTAGGAAGTGAATTTTAATTAAATTCAATGGAAATACAAATATTATCATTTGGGGACTTTTTGTGTATATGCCTATTGGGCCATATGAAGTTCCACAGTTTGTTGATCTCTTTCTGTTTTATTACTTTTTTTCTGTTTCATTGTGAAAAATTTTTATTGCTATACTTTTATAATCAGTAAACTTTTTTCCTGCAGTGTCCAACTTATTCATCCAATCCAGTATGTTTTTTTGACTCTCATATTTTAGCTTTTATCTCAAGTTCTGTTGGGTCTTCTATATTTTTGTAACCTTTTGAAGATAAGGAATATAGTATCTGTTTTAATGCTCATTTGTGCTAATTTCAACAATTTTATTGCATTATGGATTGTTAAAATTGGTTGATTTTTCTTTTCATTGTGTCTTTTATTTCCAGCCTCCCTGTATCTTTTAATTAGATATCAGAAGTTGTGACTTTACTTTGTTATATACTGGGTACTTTTTTGATCCTATAAATTTTCTTGGAATGCAGTTAAGTTACTTGGAAATAATTTGGTCTGTTCACGTCTCATTTTAAGCTTTTCTTTGTGTATGTGTGTGGGGGGTGGTGGGCTGGATTTAGAGCTCAATCCTGAGCTAGTTCTTGCCCACTACTAAGGCAATACCTTTCTAGAATTACCACAGGAAGACCTAAGAACTGCTTTCCTGAGTATTCTATCTAGTGCGCTGTAAATTATGACTTTCTTTAGTCCTGCTTATGCACTGTTTACTTTACCACTTCTTTCAAATTGTTCTTTCTTCTACCATGAGTAGTTTCCTCACATGTATGTCCTTGTTGGTATTCTTGAGTTACTTCTGTATATAATTCTTTTCTCTCTATTATGGTACTTTGTCACATGAATTTGAGTTGCCTTATTTTTCTAGAACACCGAGCTTTAACTTCTGAAGCCAGAGAGTCTATTAGGCTCTGTTTCAGCTTCCAATCTCAGTGCTGTAACCTGTAAATTATCAACAAGGCAATAAACTGGGCAAGAGGAGTAGGGCTCACCTTCATTTCCCCTCTGTTAAGGATGACTAGCTTTCATTGATTGATGCATGTTTTGAAAATCATTGTTCAATATATTATCTGATTTTTTGTTGTTGTTTCAATGCAGCATAAATCAAGTTCAGTTTAATACATTTTGGTTGGAGTCTTGCTGTTTTTGTTGTTTGTTTTGGAGGTTCCCCCCCCTTCAAATTAATGCTCTGATATAAAACATAAAACAATGTGATAATATTAGGAAAAATAATTTTGAAGGGTATGTCAAAAACACTCTATCTACATTTAAGAGTGCTTGTGATTTATAATCTGTAATCATTTACCCTTTAAGTATAATCATTGTATGTATGTACAAAGTCTAGAAGTTTATACAAAAATATTAAATTATTATCTTGGGAGGGTAGTATGATTTAGGGTAACTAATTTTGTTTTTTCTCATTTGAACATGTGTCATAAATAAAAACAAAATATCATTGATAGACCAGTGTAAAGAATTTGAGTGCTAGTCTCTTATTCCATCCTTATTTGAAGACTGACATAACAATATGTTGGAGTAGAAGATATATATATATCTAAGTCATCAAACCCTTTATCTCTTAATTGTATCTTTGTGATACATCATTCAGGTCATTGAAGCTAGATCCTTAAATGTGTCCTACAGAAAGAAGGAAAATGTATTTAAAACAAGTCATGATAACAGGAAAAAGAACTTAAAGATTATTTTTTTCATTTACTTAAAAATTAGTTTAGTTTTGGGTGACAATATGTATGTATGTAAGAAGAGGATGGTGGGATTGTTTCCTATAGATTAAGTAATAGTCATGCTTTATTTGCATTATTTTGGGAGCATGAAGAGAAAGAAAGATAAGGTCATTATAACCCTATATTGAGATAGATTCAGTGCAAATTAAGAGACTGCTTTTTAAGGATAGTTTACTACCGACTTTTTAATTTGTTCAAAATCAAGACTATTTAATAAAAGATTGGTGATAGATGGTCATGAGATCCAGAATTAATTGGCATTTGGTTTACATATTAAGTTGATTGATATAAAATATCAAAACAGTAAATCAAGATATTATTTGTAATTTTACCTAGTATTCTATGTATATAAAATTTCCAAATGCTAGTGCAAAATGCTATGTTATTCCTGACCTTGTAGCCTTTTAAGCACTTAATTTGATTTATAATATTAGCATTTGATACTCTGAAATGTCAAACTTTTGGCCTTCAGAGACTGATACTTGGGACAGTATTTGTATGTCAATGTTATCTATGGTATCATACTATGTTACTCTTGTTATATTACTCTATGTTACTAAGGTAACAGTACAGATTAAAGTTTTTGAACAGTCATTTTTTCTGTAAAGGAACAATATGTTTGTAACTTTTGTATGGTTTGATTTAAAGCCATTTTCCTTTTGTTTTCTTGTTTTCCATATGGTAAGAACATAAAACTGCTTGTGAAGATATAGAAAGGTGATCTTATCTGAACAATCTTCAACCTTTTTCTTTTGTATTCTGATAAATTGAACTCTAGTTTTTGAGAGCACATTAAAAAATAGTTAAATTTATAGTTAAAAAACAGACCTGGCCTTGCTGAAGAAACTGAGTATTTTTTTCCTTTGTCCTTTCTGTAAATGAAAAACAGGAAGTTAGTACTGGAAAGAAATTTGAAACGTTGATCTTTTCTTTGGTTCTACTTTGGGTAAATCCTCACTTGCCTCTAAAATGATTGGAATTCAGTGTTAATATAAAAAAGTTTGGGGAAAACATTTGCCACTTTGTTCTGTTCTGTTTGAAAATGTTTGGTTAGAAAAAGCTGTATATAGTATTTCATATATAAATGTAAAATGGTTGCTTGAGTTTCACAAGTCACAGATGTATGCTTTGATCATATAATGGCATTGTTTATTTTTAATATAGCTTCTGTCTTAAAAATATTTTGTTAACTTAGGAAAAAATGTTATTTAGACTATGCTGTGTCCAAGTATAAATTTACCCAATGTGAAAACCTGCATATATATAATTTAACACACTAATTAAAAAACAATGATAGAAAGGAGATCAGTAGAGTAGAGGAAGTAGATCTGGGGAGAGAAGATTGGGAGAGAAAAGAAAGGTACTGAAGAATGAGATTGATCAAATTAGTGCATATACAAATGAGACATAATGAATCCCACTATTATGTATAAATACAGTACACAATTTAAAAAAAGAAAAATGATGTTCAGTTTAATGTTCAAATGTTCACATTTTTGGAAATTAAAGTTTAGCACTGCTTTTCTTTGATTTAGACTGTATTTTATGTAAATCGGAGACCTAAAGATTGATTTTGAAGTATGTAAATAGGCTATTTTGAGATTAGTGTTATATAAAGTTTATTTGTCCAGAAGCATTTTATATACTGTTACTTGTTTTAAAGCTTGGAATAATTATTTGCTATATTATTGCAGAATTCAAAAAGTCTGTGTATTTTGCAGAATAATAAATTTACCCATTCAATAAATGTAATCACTGGAAAATATTCACATTTAAAATGAATATTTAATGAACAATTGATTTCAATTATATGTTTCTGAAATATTTGTAAAACCTTTTTTTCACAATGGGTTATATTAAAACAAGTTGTTTTATTTACATATTTAGGCTAAAATTATTCAAAGGAAGTTTCCTAAGAATGAGTTTTTTTTTCATAGTAAGAAGATATAAAATTAAAATTTAGCAGACCAGTCATAGCCTTATTCTTTAATTCATGCTTAATAAAATTTCTCTTTCAGACAGCAAATGGCTACATCTTGTTTTTTCATGTTATATCTTCAAGAGGCGACAAGTACCTTTATGAACCAGTATATCCCAAGTAAGTTTGTTGGCTTTTATTTTTTTAATATAAATCTGCATACTTTATATTCACAGAAACATTAAAGTTTTGGATTATCTGAAGTTATTAAAATAAAGATAAGCCAGTATTTCCAAAATAGCATTTCAGAAATTACCAGGTCTTTGAACCATAATTTCTTGATTAAAGAATTCTGTAATTAAATAAGTTTGGGAATCATTAGGAATGTATTGTATCCTTTCATAGCCATTCACAATTACTATTAAGATACTCCAGATCTGAGATTCTGCAGTCTTTATTAGAGAGGAGCTAAGAAATCCAGAGTGGAAGAGGTGAAATATGACTATGTTATAAGTACTTTTGCCTGTATTTTTATATATGCATAGATTTAAAAAAAAAGAAGAAGAAAAAACAAATGTCTGAGGTTCTTTTTTAACTCTTGATTAAAATTTGAGGGAACATGAACTTTTGCTCTTTGTGTAGTTATGTATATTTTGTGTTTTTTCCTCCATAGCATGCCTTATTTTCAAAATAAAAGGATGTATAGATTTAAAGCATGACATCGTTTTTAAAAGATCAAGTTTTGAAGCTAGATATAAAATATTATTTATCATGTTTCTAGATAATAGAAAACATTATTTGCTATATTAAAATTTAATAGGTATGTAAGGAATTAATGAGAAAAATAGATTTTACTATTTGAAAAGTTTAAATTTCTGAAAATTAACAACAACAAAATTAAAACATTAAAAATCAAATAACAAACCTGGGGAAAATATTTTTAGTAAATAGGGCCTCAGCTTATTGCTTTTAATAAAGGAATCATATAAATTGTCAATAAATACAGTCTATAATTGATAAAACAGTCTCAAAAAGAGGAAATGCAGTTACTATAAACACAAGAGAAACTGTTCAAGCTTAATATTATTCAAGTAAAATATCAAATTCAACAATTTTTAAAAAAAAAACTCAAATTTTAATATAAAAAAATGTTTGCTGAATTATTGTTCCACTAGCAGAGGTATAGTAAATGTTGTGTTGCTCACTTTTGATAGATGTTGTATACCAAAGTGTGATAATAGGGAGTTAGCAGGTTAACTGTAGTACATCCTTCTCAATGATGTAGTCAGTAAATATAAAGTCTCAGAAAATTTTGTGTACTCAAAAACCTGATCATATTAAAATAAAGCATACACAAAATTACATGTATAATATTACCATATCTATTTAAAACAAAACAATAAGAATCATGTAAAAAAATCCAGAACAATATAATACAGATTTTTATAGTATTTTGCCCCTAAGTGATAGAACTGTAATATAGATCTTTCTTTTTTTTTTTTTTTTTAATGGTTTTGGGCATTGAAACCAGGGCCTTGTGCATGTGAGGGAAAACACACTCTATCAACTGAGCTATATTTCTAGCCCTGTAATACAGCTCTTTATAGTATTTTGCTCCTAAATATTAGAACCAGAATGATTTTTCTGCTGCTTTCAATTCTAAAAATTTTTTAACGTTTTTAAAATATGGAAATTGTATTTAATTTTGTTAAATTGGATTTGCAAAATCCCAAAGGAAAAGAAACCCATGATTTCCCAAGAAAATGGTACCATGGAAGTTTTTTGTTTCTGTTTAAGAAAACTTTGTTAATATTCTTGAGAATACAGCTTTGAAAAGGCTAACTAAGTCATTTAGAATATAGGTCAGATTCTTTCATCATAGATTCTAGAGAACTATCTAGACTTGCCTAATGGAAGAGCCACTTCTTTTTGTGACAAATACAGTGTTAATTAAAGTATTAGCTGAGTTTTGGAAAACTTTTGTTAAGTACAGAAAAATTTTAATGATTTGGTTATTGAGTTGTTTTTCAATATAAAACAATAGGCATTATGGTATATTTAGAAATTTTATATTCTTTTAAAAGAAATATTTATTTTTGAGCTGCAATTGGACACAATATCTTTATTTTTATGTGGTACTGAGGATCGAACCCAGGGCCTTGCACATGCTAGGCAAGTGCTCTACTGCTGAGCTACAACCCCAGCTCTTATATTCAGTTTTGTGGATATTAATAAAACTAAATTTTTTTATTCTAAGTGATAAATTTGTGAAATACTCTTATAATCAATGTCTAAAATTTTATTGACTTGTGTATTTTGAACTATTGTGTCTGACTTCTTTTTTTGGCTTGATTCAGACTTGTTCCTGTAAATGAAAAGCAATAATCACAGTCAACTGAATTTAACTTGATCAGTCTATACAACTATGGGCAGAGTACAGAAATAACTTCTCTTGAGATAGTAAAAAGACTCTTTTCTTTAGCTCACTAATATAATTTACATATATTTACATGTTTCAGAATAGTACTTTTGAGACCCACTTTTTGTATCATAGAATTTTAAAAAATTGTGTCTTACCTTTTGATTCCAAAACTACACAAGATGCCTCTTAACTGAATCCTGACAATGCATAATCTTTGCTGTGCTTGACTGTGTGTGTTGGGGTAGAGAATTAAATAAAGAATATTATTCTGTTTTCAGTTTGGACATTATTTCCTTATATTGAATATTTGGGTTTTAATACCTGGGCTCAATAAAATGTTCTTAGAACAGCATGAATCTTGGTTTAAGAGATAAGCTTTGGTGGCAGATAGACCTGGAATTGAACATCAGCTTTACCATGATGTATGATTTTTTTCAAGTTTTTAATACTGCCCCAAATGGTTTTATTTGTAGAATGGGATAACAGTACAAACCATTTCATAGAATTAAATAAGATCATTTATATTTAATGCTTGGATAAATACCTGGCTTATGAGAAAATTAACAAAGGACAACTGCTGTAATCACTAATGTATTTTTCTTTCACAAAATTTTTACTTCATTTTTAAGATTTTAAGTGATTAAAATATATATACATATAAGTAATTTGTTGATGCTGTGCCTGTCTGCCAACATATAACTTCTAGTAACTGCTACACAAAATCAAATAATATCTCATATGCAAAACAATTTTGTAGGATAGTCATTCTGTTACAGATTTGTGCATTGAACTACTTTTAAGTTAGTTTAGTTGAATAAGCCCCTCCCCCACCGCAGAAGTCATTAGTAAAATGAAAATAAAAATATCTTAAATTGTTAGATGTTCATATATTTAAAACCTGAAAAATAGTGGTTATATAAGTAAAAAAAAAAGTTTGATTTTGACAATATCACTTGTACCATTGTAAACAATTATGTAGTTCACAGACACTGTTGTAAGTACTTTCACTACTCATTTAATTTCTGTAGTAATCCAGAGAAGTAGCTAGGTACAACTAGTATACAAATTATTACACAGAGAGGCCAGGTGACTCATCATAGTTGTATTCTTAAGTGGCACAGCCAAAATTCAGATATAAGTGTTATAGCCCCAGAGTTTGTGCTTTTAATCATTACTACTATACTGCCCCAACCTTGTTGTGCCCTGTCTAACCATCTACTAGGACTTACTGAGGGAATAGGGATAGAAAAAAGGAGAAATGATCTGGAGTGCTTTATAATGGTCCTGAAGAACAGAGGTAGCATAATTAAGACCAATATTTAATTGTCTTCTCAATTATAGAAATGCTGTTATCTCTTATTTCACTTCTCTAAATCTTAACAGTATATCACATGATTTTTTTCTAGAGGATCTCAGCTTTCCTGTATTATATGATAGCATCTTAACTTCAGGCTGAATCATTTTCATTGTGTTCCATCTGAGAACACAGGTCAGATATCTCTTTGATCTTTCATAGTTTCCACCTGTAGTAGTTGCTAGCATCCTTGTAGATACAGGGAGTCAGTCTTCAAAAGTGATGGCAGTTTTATTAAATGACTCTACCTCAAAGATCACTCATTTATAATAACATTTTCTATTTCTTTGTCTTTCGTATATTGACATATTCCATTCCGTATAAAATATGTCTTCACATTAGTCATACAAACCAGTGTGCAGGCTGGTTGAAGCTTGTCTTTTTTTTTTTTTTAAATTTTATGTTTTAGAATATGTAGTGAAATTAATGAACGAAACTGCCAGGGATAAATCAGAAAAAAAAATTGTTTTTAGATGGGAATGTGTTCACGTACTTGTATTTAAATGAGTTCAGTCAATCTTGAAATTGCTAATTATATTTCTTCATAATGAAAATAATTTCAGGGGTTGGGATTGTGGCTCAGCAGTAGAGCGCTCGCCTAGCATGGGCGGGACCCGGGTTCCATTCTCAACACCACATAAAAATAAAGGTATTATGTTGTGTTCATCTGTACTTAAAAAATAAAAAGGTATTTTTTTAAAAAAAGAAAATAATTTTAGCAAATATATTATAATGTATATTTTGTTGAGAACAGAGAACCTCCACAGTTCTCTCATTTCTGTCTCTCAACCGGTACCATTAAGCTCTCTCTCTCTCTTTTTATTTTGTTAAGAGACAAGTCTTATTGAGGCCCAAGTTCTAAAACAAATAATTACAGAAGCTGGTGTTGTAGTTCAGTAGTAGAGTGCTTGTCTAGCATCAGTTAGGCTCTAGCTTCAATCCCCAGCACCACTGAAAAGAAAAAAAATTACTAAAATTGAGTGTACTTAATTTCAAATATCTAAGTTATAGATCATCATCTTTTTCATAGAAAAAAATAATCACTCCAACAAAAGAACAAATCTCCCTCTCCTTTACTCCTTACCTCCCCAACATAGTTTATCTTACAAGCTCTCTGTTAATGAATTAGTACTGACTGGAAAGGAAGAAGAGACTTACTGAGGCTATAATTTCTGATTTCAATAGTTTATCTCCAAAAATCCAGTTTTTTTTTTTTTTAGGAAAATCTTATAAGTCATAAGCATCTGCTGAATCACATCAAATGTATAGGAGAAAAGACGTCTGAATTAGTCATAGAATGAACGTTTCCCTCAACATATATTTAGTTGTGCATTGCTTAAGAACAGATTAGTTCTGAGAAATGCATCCTTAGGTGATTTCATCCTTGTGTGAACATCATAGAGT